GCTCTGCCGGAGAAGGAGGCGCAATATCCTCCTGTACCAGTCAGATCTGATTTGACGGTACACGCACACAAAATAATAAGAAAATTTAAAAAAAAAAAATTTTTTTTAAAAAATTCAGAAAATTATGTGCCTTATAAAAGTGTTGTCATGCTCATTCTTCCTTAAAGATGTGTTCTTTCCAAAAAAATTAAAATTCTATGTTTTCTCAATAAAACATTTTCCAAGTATAAATTATAGGCTTAAATGGAAATAAAGCATTTCAGAGTCACCTTTGCAGATTTACCGGACTTTTGAAATTAAGTGTTCTGCTGAAGAGATTTTTCTGCTCAGAGCCACCTGGGCTCCAGAAATTGATTTCTTTTTTGTGTGTGATTGTTTTCCTAGTATAATATCTCCCTCTTGTTAGTGGTTTGGATATAAAAACTAATAAAAGAGATAATCATATGGCTTAGTAAGAATATAAAAACATCTTTTCCTTTAAAACTAAGCCAAATCCCATGGGAATTATGAGATAAATAAATGCATTTTTTTTAATAAATGCATTTATTATATGGTTACATAGCATCTTGTTTTCCAGAGACATAAAATTCTTTGACAGCCAACCAGCTAAGCATGATACAAGAAGGAATTTTAAGTGCTGTCATAGAAGTGTAATTAAAATTATGGGAAATAAAAGGAATAAAAAGTTAAGATTAAATTATTCTGATACATTATCCCAGAAGTTACCTAATATGTTAATTAAGATGAGTACATCAGTAATCATGTCATTTGACTTACTGTTTGTCGTCCTATACATAGTGCTTAGTACAGGGCCTAGTACAGTGCAGGCATAATAAATATTTTGATTGAATAGGATTTTAATAGTAAGATTAAATGGCATTATATTCTAGATAATTAGTACGCCAAAGAAAAGGTTTGAAAGTTTATTATTTGTAAGTAGAGTGTCATCTGTTTGAGATAAAACATAACATAGCAAAGAAAAATGGGAAGATAGATTGAGACAACATCACAAAAGATGAGGAGAATTAAGATAATGAGATAAGAAATACTGGAGCAACAAATATGTTTTAAAGCAACAATAGTGAATTTCATTTTTGATGTGTTGAGCTTAAAAACCTGACATACCTGTAAAACATTCAAATCACAGTTTTCCGTAGCTAATTGGAGATATATTCACATGGTGACTGTAACAGTGGGCTCAAGTATATCGGAGGTGGTGAGAACAGCACAAGATAGGGCAGGGTTCAGATCTGTTGTTCATATCTCTATGAATTACTTTTGACTCAGTGGCACTTAAAAACTAACATAACAAATTATTAGAGTCTGGAGTTAGATTGATTGAGTCTGGAAATAAAAAGTAGCAAAAAATGGCATATAACAATTTAGGAACAGACAAGATCATAACCCAGAAATCCACTGCCCTTGAGTCTGTTCCAAGGGATAGCAACTTTCTATAGGGTTTTCGAGGTTACAGATCTTAATGGAAGATTTTTATACTGTTTCTCTTGAAGATATAACTGCTGGAAATAGACTTTTGGTTTTAGCAGCTTATTCCATAACAGCACTAGGAGAGGGTAAATAAAAAAAAAGCGGGGGGAACAGTAACAAAGAAGCAAGCTCTGGTGGGATTGTCCACCCAAAGGCAGCTCCTTTCTGGCAGTTTGAGTTTGCTAGCTCCTCAAAAAGAGAAAAATGGGTGCTCTCCCATAACATTTACAGCCCCTGAGAACCTGTTGAAGAGTCAGATATGAGGCTGTACCAACTTGTTGGCAATGTGCTTGGAGTTTTGAATGTATAAGAAAAGAATGGATAGGGAAAGATGCCAAAAAAGGTGTTAGAATTGTCAGGAATGTGAGAAAATAGTATCAAAGAGTTAATCATGAGGAGAAACTTGGATTACAAATATTACTGAAGATATTTGGGGCTTAAAGGAAACTATTATATAATTTCCCTGCATTTGCTTACATTGACTGTTAACAGAAGTGCTTTATAGTTGAGTATTGACAAGATCATAAATAATTGTGTGCTAGGGACACCACCCACTCACTCTTCACTTGTAGATACATAGTTAGGTTCCACAGACTTGGTTGTTCCATGAAAACTAGCATTATGCAAAATTTGAAGATGGCACATCGTTCACTAAACAGAGGGTGGTTACAGAACTACTAAACCACTGAGAATCAGATTGACACATAACCTTGGAAGTACCAGCCTCTTGTACTCTCACCTCAGCATTTGTTTCTGCTAGACATATATTTGGGAGCTCTGGTGGCTTAGTAGCTAGAAACTGTGCTACAATCCCAAAGGTACACAGTTCAAGGCTCTGAGGAAGCATGGGTACTCTCCTCCTGTGCAATTGAATGCCTCAGAACCTGCGGGAGGGTCAGCTATGGGTCACCTTCAACCCTACAGTTCTTAACAGCTGGTGTAATTAATTTGCAAAAGAATCAGAGTAATTTTTTTTTTTTTAACTATTGTAGATGCACAGCATTGGATAACGAGACACGTAAAAGAGGTGTCTTAAGTATTTCTCAAGTTTACTTGAAAGTGATTTGGATGATGACTTATTTTCTGCCTTTTGTTGCTGTTTCTTCCTTCCTTTGTTCAATGTCTTAATTTAATATACTCTCAACTCTGTTTAATCCTGTGTGCTTCATTTCAGTCCTGCTGTTTAAATCCTACATGCTTCATTTAATTCCTTTTCTGGAAGTTTATCAGTCTTGAAGTCTATGACTTTTTTCTAAGAGAAACCATCGTCTTAATTCTATTTTTCTTTATTCTTGCTTAAATAGCCCTCATATTTTGCTGCACAGTGCTATATGTACGCTATATCCTCTTACTTTTCAGTTATATTTAAACCATATATCCATGGTGCTTTGTAAGCATTGAATATCTTGAATGTTGAAAATTTTTGTCAAATTTAATTAAAAAAAATTTTTTAAAGCGTAAGAATCTTAAAAATACAGTGTGCTTTACTTTTAGCATCTCAGTGGGAAAAGCCTGAAGGATTTGAAGGAAACTTGAAAAAGGTAACTGAAGCAAATGAATAGTTTAAAGTTCTTTATTTTTAAAGTTAACTAGTTTTATTGAATTAAGCATATTTACTTTCAAATAAGAGGATTATCCTCTCCTAGTTTTGTTCTTTTGCTTAATGTTGTTAGAAGGTGGGTGGAGGTGAAATAATAACGTTTACCCAGGAACTTCTTGCAAATATTTTTTTATTAGTTTGCAAATAACCGCATTTAGCCCTGTCTATTTGCAATGAATTGTTTTTGCCTTTCAGAGGTAATACACATTCTCTCCCTGAAAGTTGACTCACGATTAATAACAACTAGAGTTCCTGTCCATAATCAGTACTACCATCCCGAGTCCTCAAGTATCAAGAAGAGAGGTGTCTGCCTCTGCTTAGTTATTCACTGTATAGACACCATCACTACCTTCAGTTTATGCTCTTTTTATTTCCCCTTTTAGACAGTGAAACCTGTTTGGGTAGAAGGCTTAAGTGAAGATGGTTATACATATTATTATAATACTGAAACAGGAGGTAAGTATCACTTCTGATCGTATTAACTACCTAAAATTATCTCTGAAACTGCTTCTTTCATAGCTTGCTTAAGAGGAATCTAAACTTTGTCATTTAAATATAGTGAAAAACGTATTTCTGTAACATGCATCTTAAGTTTTTTTTAGTTTTTTTACATTACGAACATTAATATATGACATGATAACTGTAACCAAAAATATTCACTGAAGTCTTCTTACAACCAAACAATAGTTTAGCTTAATTAAGAATGAATGCATATTCATATAGAGCATTATACTTAAACTGTGAGATTATAGTGATGATGGCAACACAAAAGTTTAGACAGCAAAATTAGAAGACAATGAGTTTATGTTACAAAACCATGATGATTCGTGGTCTCAGTGGCTAACCAAGCAGTTTGATCTCATCAGCTACTCTGGGAGAAATGTCAGTTTCCTTAAAGATTTACAATTCGGGAAACCAGGGGGCTGTTCTAGTCTGACCTATAGGGTTACTGAGTCAGAATGGACTGAATGGAAGCGAGTTTGGTTTGAGGAATTAATGTTACTATGGAAGGAACAACTTAAAAAAAGAGCATAGAGTGATTGCAAAACTTGAAGCATGAAATTAGTATTACTAAATTAGACATGTAGATATTTATTGAATTGATAATTGTGTGGTATATATTCTTACCAACTACAAATATATACTTTTTTTTTAATGGCTAAAATGACCTTTTTGTTATTTATATAATTTTTTTGTTATTTTTGTTTTGTCACAATGAAAGTTATTTTTTAAAAAAGAGTGGCCAAAAAATACCACACAGTGATAGCATTTGTGATTGAAGCTGCATTTAAATTTTTGAGATACTATTTTAATTTCTTCGGCCATTGCTAGTTTTTTTATTATGATTATTTTAAAAATTAATCTTTTGTTTTTATGATCCTTAGAGGTAAACTAGTTCAGTTTGCCATCCTTAGAGCAAATGAATAAACTATTTTTCAATGGTTAAAATTATAAAATTTTCACTTTTATTAGCTTAGTAATGTTTTAGTTATTTAAACATACAAACATGAATGACACTATTATATATTAAGATTAAGTTTTTATCTAATTCGATTTCATATGAAATTGTCTTTTTGTTGGGTTTTCTTTAATTATTATTTTTTAATTTTTTTTTTTACTTTTGGGAGCAAACTGAAATAATCATACAATACTAGTTATCTGTATGAAGGAACGAATAATAGAAGAGAAACCTTAAATACACAGGGAAATAAATGGAACCACCCAGAAGAATATTATGGGGGGGAGAATATTATTGAAACTACAGACTCATTTGTACAAGTCTTCTCAAGAAGAGGGAGGGGAGCTCATGGAAAGTAGATAAAAACACCTTGTCTCATTTAATATGCACCTTGCATTGGAGGTCCTCTTTTAAGCAAAGGAAAGTTGTGTGTCATGTGTTCATCCAGTTAATGGGTCTTCCTCCAATTCTGTTGCTTTATCCTTCATAAAGTTCATCTTCTGAGATTATTTGCTGAGTATGCACACTGAATAAGTGTGATGAAGGATACAACCCAGGGATAGCCTTCAGGATGACAAACAACCTTTCCTCATTTGAAACCACACAGTATCCCTTTTTTTCACCCAACAACTGCCTCCTTTTTTCTACATGAGCACGATGAAGTGTTCTCCATAAATTATTGTTTTCTACGTAGTTAGTTGCCTATGCCTAGTCAGTTAAACACAGAGAAACATAACCTCCTAAAATGGTTTGATGTTGACCAATTTTTCTCTGTTATTTCCTCCTCTTTTTTTTTTTTTTTTGAGCCGATCCATAGCTGACCTTAAGGTGGGTTTTCAGAGGCAGAAAATCACAAAGCAGCTGGTAGCCTTGAATCACATGCTTTCAGGATTGCAGCATAGCTTCTTGCCACTGGGCCACCAGAGCTCCATATTTAATTTTATTAGACAAACATTTATTTGACAGTTTAAATTATTCAAAGAAAACATATACAGCGGCACAAAAAAACTGTGACATTCTGCTTTAATATAGCAGTGGTAGAAAACAGTGGATTGTGGGATAGATAGATCACAGATTTAAGACAAAAAATCTTGTAGATAAAAATTTCAGCCTTTTTATTTCACTAAACTTAAAACTAGACATGCTTTCTAGTCATCAGCATCTTCTAAGATGTTTTTCACTTTCTGGTAATTGTTAAGGATGGTTTATGCATCTCCTGGTCTAGGTGGCAGTCTGAGATAATCATGCTGAACTCTGAAGATCTCTGCCTGCTTGTTCATGGCATAATTTCTACTCTCTTCAGCCTTCATCTGTCATTTGATTTTTGTTTGGCTTCCCTTTCTTACATCACTTTTTCTTTGCCCGGTCACTTTACTGCACCAGTTAGATGTTGAAGTGCCTCCAGGAAAAGGATTGGCTGTAGTCCAGTAAGTGTTATGGGAAGGAGTGGCAGGGAGCCAAGTCTGAAACCTAGTAGCCTTGACGAGGCATTTAGGAGTGGGTCGTTGGCCCAATCCCGTGAGACCTCATGTTCCTTTGATGCTTTCTACATTGTTCAGTATTTTGCCAATAGAATCCTTCAATGTTCTAGTTAAGCCTTTTATTTTTTTTTTTATTCAGTTATTTCCGTTTGAGAAATGCAAAGCCTGTTTCGCCCTTCTGATTTTCTAATTTGAAGCTTTCGCCCATGTCATTATAATACTATCTTCTCAAGCCATCCTTTGAAATTTTCTGTTTTGTTCTGCCTTTATATAACAATCTTAAGGGGGGCAAATGGCCTTTTGAACCCCAAGTATATACACCTTGGCTTCCAGTTGATAGAATTGTTCTTTATCCTGCCAAAATGGAAGTTCTGAATTTTTTATAAAGAAAGGTAAAATAATACAACTTAATAATTAAATCCTTTCCAGCTTTGTGATTGTTAGTAAGAACCTGTCATTGCTCTTAGGTAAAATGGAGATAATTTACATATATTTTGTGGGGTTGTACCCCAAACAGATATGATATATAGTAGATGCTTAACAGATTATTTCCATTTTTTCCCCCCAGGTTATTTCTTGAAAACTCTTTAGTTCCTTGTGTAAAGTAGATTGTTGTTGTTGTTGTTATATGCCATCAAAGCAGGTACAACCCATAGAATTATGAATAACAGATCTGAGCCCTGTCTTGCACCATTCGCACACTTCCTGACACACTAATGCCCACTGTTGCAGTCCAGCTGGTTGAGGATCTGCCTCCCATTCACTGACCCTCTGCCTTTCTGAACTTCATGTCCCTCTCCAAGGAACAGCCCCTCCTAGCAACATTGCTGAAGTATGTTGGCCTCTTTGCCTCCAAAGAGCACTCTGGCTGGACTTACTCCAAGACATACTTGTTTGTTCGATGGGATGTTCGGTATTTTTCTCCAACACCACAGCTCAAATGCATCAATTCTTTTTCTGTCATCCTTATTCATTGTCCAGCTCTCAGATGCACAGCAGGTGATTGGAAAGACTATAGCCTAAATCAGATGCATATTACACCTCAAACTGACATCATTACTCCTCAATAATTTGGAGAGATCCCTAGCTGCAGATTTTGCCAGTGCAGTACATCTCCTGATTTCCTGACTTCAAGTACAAGGGTGTTGTTTATGGATCCACGTAAGATGAAGTTCACAGTTTCAGGATTTTTTTGCATCTTTCATGATACTGTCTTTCGGTCCACTGGTAAAAATCTTTGTTTTATTGATGCTGAGACACAATCCATATTGAAGGCTTTATTCATTTATCTTCTGCAGCAAGTGCTTCAAGTCCTCTTCACTTTCAACAAGCTAGGTTGTGTCATCTGCTTAACACAGGTTGTTGATGAATTTTCCTCCAGTCGTGATGCCACATTCTTCTTCATAGAGTCTAGTTTCTTCGGTAATTTGCTCAGCATACAGATTGAAATATTAAAAAAAATACAAAGAAAAGTACTATTTTTTTTATTGCTTCTGGGATGTTCCTTATATTGATATAGATGCCATACATGCTAATTTGTCCTGAACAGCTTTAGTTTATGCCTGTTACTAGAAATTATTAAAAGCCATCTTTTATACTCTTAAAAAGTATCTTGGTTGAACATTAAATTGTATGTAGTTACTCTTTTATTAAACTGCAAAATAGTTTCAACTGCTATCATTATGCTCAGTGTTCAGTAAACCACTGGATGGCAGTATAATTCTTTTTATTGAGGTGTCTTTCCCCTCTATGAAAATGCCATTTCATTCACTTATATTTTGACAACATGATTTCACTGCATCATGGTACCTCCTAGGAAATCTTAATCACATTTTCCAATATTTGGTGTTGCATAAATTGTGACAGACCTTAGAAAGTATCACTCAGTTCTAGGAACGCTTGTGTAGTTTTTACATGTAGTAAATCCAGGTTGTTGGAAATAAATTTTTAAACAGCACAGTGTTTGGAAATGTAGTGATAGCATGAAATATCATTTAATATTATGTGGTAAATGACAGGAAGTGTTAAAGTGGGAATTATTTCTGAACAAAATTGGTAACTAAATAATTAGGTAAATTATGTTGAGCAGAATCCAAATGGGAGAAGCCTGATGATTTTATACCACACCCTGGGGATGAGCTTTCTAGTAAAATCAAAGAAAACGTGAAAGACAGCCTTGAAACTTCAAAATCATCAGGCCTTGAAACTTCAAAATCATCAGGCCTTGAAACTTCAAAATCATCAGATTCACGTAGTGATTCTGATGAAGAACAGAAGAAAATAGAAGGTGATGCCTCTACAAAACCACAGAAGCTAACGATAAAGTTTAAGGTAGGTTCTTAATTTTATTATTCAAAAAAGTTTATCATCTTGATAGATTTCTTAGTCTTCTGGCAAAGGTATCTATTTTGCTTGTACTAATTAATGGATAAGGTATACCTGATCCAAGCCATGGTATTTCCAGTTCTTTTATATATATATCTGAATATTTGATGATTACTAAAGAAGGACAAGAGAAAGAAAAAACTAGAATGAGGGTCAGACAGAACTTGTCCTGAAACAGAGAGAGGCCAAAACAAGGGTAAGAAATGCTGAAGTAACAAAGAGGAACAGGAAATTCAAAGGACAGCTCATGAACAGATATAAACTTTGAATTGCAATATTGAGGGATTCTGCCAGCAAATATTGAATGATGAACAAAGCATCAAAAGCTGGAAGGAATACATACAATCAGTGTACCAAAAAAAATTGGTTGATAGAGAACCATTTCAGGAAGTGGCATATGATCAAGAACCAATGATAATGAAGGAAGAAGTTTAAGCTGTGCTTAAAGCATTGGCAAAAAATAAGATCTCACAAGTTCAGAGAATACCAATAGAGTTGTTTCAAATACTGCTTTGGGGGTACTCACTAGTCTATGCCAAGAAATTTGGAAGACAGTCAAGACTGGAAGAGATCCATGTTTATTTTTTTTATAAAAATAAAGATCCACCACAGTGGACATTATCAAAAAATAACATTAACATCACATGTGAGTACACTATAGGTGAAGGTTTTATTTTTTTAATTATTAGAACAGTACATCAATAAGGAACTGCCAGAAATTCCAACTGGATTCAGAAAGAGGCCATGGCAAAAGAGATAACACTGATGATATGTGAAGGATCTTGACTGAAAGAGAATACCAGAATTGTGTTTTATTGCCTATGCCAAGATATTTGGTCATATCGATCATAGCAAATTATGATTAACATTGAGAAGAATGTAAATTCCAGAACATTTAATTGTGCTCATGTGAAACCTGGACATAGACCAAGAAGCATTATCTGAAAAGAACAAGGAACAGTTTTGTGGTTTAAAATCAGGAAAGATGTATGTCAATGTTATTGCCTTTCTCCATGCCTACTCAGTATGTATGTTGAACAGTTCATCTATGAAGCTGGACTATATGGAGAAGAATGTGGGATTAGGATTGGAGGAAAACTCATCAATAGCCTGCATTATGCATATGAAACACCCTTGTTTGCAAAAGTGAGAAGACCTGAAACACTGAAGGTCAAAGATTCCATCTTTCAAAATGAATTACATCTCACCATCAAGAAAACAAAAATCTTCCCCACTGAACCAGTAGACAACACCATGGGACATGGAGCAAAGATTTTGTAGATGTTAAGGATTTCATTTTACTTGGATCCTTAATCAGCATCCATAGTAGTAGCAATCTAGAAATCAAAAGACATGTTTCATTGGGGAAATCTGCTGTCAAATTCTTCTCCAGAATACTGCAGAACAAGGAGATTAGTTTAAAGACTTAAGGTGCCCCTGATGCATTATGATTTTTTCATTTTTTCCTGTGCATCTGAAAGTTGGAGAGTAAATAAAGATGACAGAAGAATCAATGTCTTTGAATTGACTTGGAGAAGAGTACAGACTGTTCGTGATGGGTGGCCAAAAGAACAAACAAGTAAGACTGGAAGAAGTACAATCAGCGTGCTTGTTAGAGACAGACATGATGGAATTTCTTCTTGGATCCTAAGGGCATGTTGTCAGGAGGGCTCAGTCCTTGAAAAAAGACGTCATGCTGGGAAACCTGAAGCATGACTTGTTACAGTGGTTGTAACAGTGGTGGCTGGTATGTTGGGAATCTTGAAGATGGTACAGAATATTTCTGTTTCACTTCGGGTCACTAAGTTGTAGTTGACTGGATGGCACTTAACAATCTATGTACAAGAGATAGATATTAAATAACATGTAAGTAAAACTTAAGCACTTTCATATTGACATGAACATAATTGTACTTTGTGTCATGTCATGTGTCGACAGTACTTTTAAGCTCATAAAAGAGAGCTTAACAAGATGGACTGACACGATGACTATAATAATGATCCCTAGTGTGGGCTCAGAGATGATGAGGATGGCACAATTTAGGGCAGGGTTCAGAACTTTTGGTCACAGGTTGCTAAGTTATAGGCAACTCGGTGGCACCTAAAATGAAGATGACTGCAGAATGGGTATGAAAGGAAAATGGTGCCAGATTTGCCAAAGTCATTAGTAAATATGGAGTATAGACCAGAGGTTAGATCAGGGAAGAAGGGAGAGAGGCATTGAGTGAAGAGCGAAGTAAATATAATACTGTGACCAGTGATACTTGAGAAACAAGAAGAATGAGTTATCTGAAAGCAATCACCGTTACTAATGGAAAGTACTTGGTGTCTCTTAGCTGCCACCCATGGTTACACAGTTTGCAGAGACTGAACACAGCACATCGTCCACTAAACTGAATGAGTGACATGAAAATACCAGCTCTCACCAAGGATGGCCATGGGAGCTGTTTGCACCCTAAGGCAGTACCATTTTCTAATTCACACATAGTTACTGGTTTTAGGCTAATGAGGCTTTGGCAGTGCCTTCAAGGTAACATTTCTGTGAAGGTTAATAGGTTGAGAGAGTAGTTTCAATATATAATGGATAAAGAAGAAAGTAATGACATGATATCAAATTCACGGGAGGCACATTATAAAAAATAAATCACTGTTAGACACATGAGCAAGGACAGAAAGCAGAGAAGAAAGGGAAGTATCCTTAGCTGTACATCTGCTAGTAATAGCATCATGTTTTATTTTTGTGAGTAGCCTTCATATATTAGAATTGAAGACATAAGGAAAAGCCTAATCAGTCATTGAAGGTCTTTTATGTTCATGTATTTTGATAATGTACAGATTTAAACAATTTGGTTTCCTACTTAAAAATCTGTAATAAAGTTTAAAATCTCTGTGTTAAAGCTATTTGATTATTCTGGTAGTTTTGCTTAAAGTATGTTATTTCTTAACCTTTTCAGGAAAAAAATAAGAATAATGAAGAAGGAACTAAATTAACATCACAGAAAGAAAAAATTCTGCCAGAAAAGGTTTCATCAGGTCCAAAGGAAGAAAAACCCAAAGCAGTTAAAAAGCCAAACCCATATGGAGAATGGCAAGAAATTAAACAAGAGATTGAGTTACCGTAAGTAACTGAAATTTCTTTATTGCACCATTTTTACAGATAACTTGTATCATAGGGTTGCAGACTGAGGGCAAAGTATTTTTATAATTATTAATAATGAGACAGATAACCAAGAATGAGATAGAACAGAGAGCATAAAAAAAAGGGCCAGCATTTCTCTACTGAAGGGCCCCATTCCAGCTTCCCTGTATCTTTATTGAAAATTATCAGGAAGTAAATCACAAAGAAAATTCAATGCAAATGAAGCCAAGTTCTTTCTATTGAAAACCTTCTGCTTGACTCAGTAGGGAGGGGTCAGCAAATACAATGCAAGAATCCGGTAAACTGTTAAGGATTGCCTTAGTGCCTCAGGGTGAACTCCAGTTTGTATTGCCTCCCCCACATCCTGAAATAGCATTTGGTTTATTAGAATTATTTAGTATTGGCTTCCCATATCACAGTGTTTCCATAAACTATAATAATTAACTTCATAGATATTATCTGTGCTCATTAAAAGTGTTCGTAATTTCTCTACTTCTAGAGTTGTGGGGTTTTTTTATTAAATATTTTAAAAATAAAGTGATCAAAAGTAAGCTAATAGCTGCTACTTCTGTTGACCACAGTCATTCGTAGTAAGTGGGTATGATCAGTCTGTCACAGAAACAAACACCTGCGTATTCAGTAAATGCTTTGGAATGAATATCTGAATGTAAGGAAAAAGCTCTTAGCCAGTATTCTTGTTTAAGAGAATCAAACTAAATAGCACATAGTAAATTAATTTTAAATCTTAGCAAGCCTAAGTGTCTTCACAGTAGTTATTAAGAATTTAAGGTTAATGTGAAGAGGGTGTTCCTATCCTGCTGCTTTTATTGTGAGAAATGTTTCTGACATCTTCTGATGCCCTTTTAATGTACAAATAGCAAGTATTTTGGTATGTGTAGGGATTAGGTGGCTTTTTAAATCAAGTCATCAGGTCACTGTGTCTGTATCCTACTCTCTGTTGTGCCTTACTCTGGAGGTAGGCTTTTCCTACCTAGTAGTAAAGCTTATATAACTGTGATTTCAGGAGAGAAAGGGGGGGAAATGGAAATGTCTTCACCAGCAGTTTTGCAGAAAAGGTCCTACTTCGTTTACTTCCCATTTATTTCTAAACCACTGCAATTTTTGCTTTTTATTCATTCTTGTTGTACATTTGTCTTCCCACTCCCTGCCTACCCCCTTCCCCACTCCATTTTACAGTGTACCTCTTGTTCCAGATTGTTGTTATTCATAAAATACCTGATCATTTATTCCTTTTAGACAGTTGGCCCCCCTCGTCTGTTCTAATGCAGTATTTATTATCTATCCACTCTTTTCCTAGTCTCTTCCCAACCCCTCATGCAAGTCCTGTTTTATAACAGTGGCGTAATGTAGTATTTTTCCTTTTGTGACTGAGATATTTCACTGAGCATAATATCTTCCAGGCTAACTCATGTTGTATAATGTTTTACAAGTTTATTGTTTTTCAGTGATACATAATACTCTTTTTTTTTTTGTTTGTAATACTCTCTTGTGTGAATGTTCTATCATTGTGTAAATGTACTATCATTTTTCTATCTATTTGTTCATGGGCATTTGGGATGCTTCTGTCTCTTTTCTTTTGTGAATAATAATACAGAAATAAACATGAATGCGAATACATCTGTTTGAGTCATGGCTCTGGTTGTGTCAAGAAATCTGGAGAACAACCATTTGGCCAACTGACTGGAAGAGATCTATATTTCTTCCCATTCCAAAGAAAAGTGACCTAACAGAGTGTGGAAGCTATAGAACAATAATGTTGATTTCACACGCAAGCAAGATTCTACTGAAGATTATAAAAAAACGACTGGAACAGCACATCAGCAGAAAACTGCCAGAAGTCCAGGCTGGGCTTAGAAGGGGTCATGGTACTAGGGATATTATAGCCAATATTAGATGGATCTTGGCTGAAAGCAGGGAGTACCAGAGGAATGTCTATCTGTGCTTCATTGATTATGCAAAGGCATTTGACTGTGTGGACCATAACAAGTTGTGGCTGACTCTGAGAAGAATGGGAATCCCAGAACACTTGATTGTGCTAATGTGAAACCTATACTTGAACCAAGAGGCAGTTGTCAGAACAGAGCAAGAAAACACTGCATGGTTCAAAATTGGGAAGGGCGTGCGCCAGGGATGTGTCCTGTCTCCATACCTTTTCAACCTGTATTCAGAACAGATCATCCGGGAGGTTGAGCTCTATGATGAGAAGTGCTGCATCAGGATTGGTGGAAGATCTGTCAACAATCTGCGTTATGCAGATGACACAACCCTGCTTGCTGAAACTGAGGAGGACCTGAAGTGCTTGCTGCAGAGGGTCAAGGACTGCAGCCTTCAATATGGATTGAAGCTCAACATCAAGAAAACAAAGATTCTCACCACTGGGCCTATTGGCAGCATCAGTATGGAGGGTGAAGAGATTGAGATTGTTCACAGCTTTAGTCTGGTTGGCTCCACATCAACACTCTTGACACCAGAAGCCAGGAAATTAAAAGATGTATTGCTATAGGAAAGTCTGCTGTTGGGGACCTCTCTAAAGTATTGAAGAGCAACAGTGTCTCTCTGGAGACTAAGTTGCGTCTGATACAGGCCATGGTCTTTGCAATCACTTGTTAGGCATCAGAGAGTTGGACAATGAATAGGGAGGATAGAAGGAAAATTGATGCCTTTGAGCTTTGGTGTTGGAGGAGAGTATTGAGGGTACCATGGACTGCTGAGAAAACAAACAGATTCATCCTGAAGAGGGTTAGACCAAGCTGCTCCTTGGAGGCAAGGATTCTGAGGCTTCATCTGACATACTTTGATCATGTTGTAAGGAGAGACTGGTCCTTGGAGAAGGACATCATGCTTGGGAGGGTGGAGGGACAGCACAGGAGGGGAAGGCCATCTATGAGATGGTTTGATTCGGTGACTGGGGTAATTGGGATGAGTGTGTCGGAGACAGTGAGAGTGGCACAGGACAGAGCAGAGTTTAGGGCTGTTGTACATAGGGTTGCTATGAGTCGCAAGCAACTCGATGGCACATAACAACAACATATTCCCAGTAGTGGAATTGCTGGGTCAAATATATTGTTGCTTCCAACTTTTTGAGAAAATGCTCGACTCCCTTCCATAGTAGCCATACTATTTTACAACCCCACCAGCAGTGAAAAGAGTTCTAATCCCTCCACAACCTCTGTAGTATTTGTTGTTGTCTGACCTGTTGAACTTTGTTCTTGTTGCTGGTGTGAGGTGATACTTAGTAGTTCTGATTTGCATCTCTCCACTGTGATTTTTTTTTTTTTTTAATTGACCTAAAAACTCATAAACTGAAAAGGGAGGAAAAGTAGTTCCGGAAGGTGAAAGAGGTTAATTGGGGCAGTTCTAGTAATATTAAAGGGACAGTGGGAAGTTGGGCAGGCCAAAATGAAATGTCTGTGTGCCTAGTGCACTGTCTGCCACTTAGTAGACGTTACATTTTTGTTTTTTATTTTATTAGTTTTTTTGTGTGTACCGTCAAATCGTGTCTGACTGGTACAGGAGGAGATTGCCCGTCCTTCTGCAGAGCATCTGGTGCATTTGAACCACATACCTCTGGGATTACAGTGCAGCTTCTTGCCACCAGGCCACCAGAGCTCCAGTAGACATTACTTGTTGTAAGGTGTCATCGAGTTAGTTTGAACTCACAGCAATCGTATGTATGACATAACAAAACACTGCCAATATAGTTTCTTGGATTTTTATTGTTCTCAGTCTAAGGTAGCTTTTTTAAACTTTCTTTGGCCTCTGGAAAAAAATAATCTTCTCTCTTATTCTTCAGATCAAGCTGAGTGTGAGTATATGACCTGGGTTTTAGTCAGATTAAGTACAGATCCAGACACCATATGTCTTCTTAAATGGCATTCTTCATTTCTTGATACCTGGCACTTTTAGCATTTAATCCATTCTTTTAGGATGTTTTGGTATTTTTTTTCTCGTAATGCCCTTTCTGGCAGTCAAGGTAGTCTTTTGCTTTTAAGTGATAGAAGTTTGAGTTAGCGTAAAGAAAAAGACTGTTCAAGTATTCCAAGGAAAAAGCTGCTTTCAGGCTGTAGGAGGGCTGCCAGGGTTAGGGGAGTAGTGCCTAGAACACTGGCAGGATTCTCCACACCCTGTCTCTCAACATGCAAATTCTTTTCTCTGTCTCTGCAGAAAAGCTTTTTTCAGCTAGTTTCTTTCTTCATTGTGATTCCTGACAAGTTATATACTCTTTAGAGAGAATTTAGCATAATGATTTTTCTGGTCCATGTTCAGAAAATCTCTTGTGTGCTATTGGTGAGTGTAACAAGCTTTAGTTCCGTCCTCTTTCTTCAAACAGCTGACTGTTCAAAGAGTAATCTACTATAATGTTAATCAGGACTTAACCCAGAGCTAGTTAAATGATCTTCATACTGTCTGGTCATATTTCTCTGGAGAAATAGAAACAGTGAGATACAGAGAGAATTTATTTCAGGAGATTGGCTTGTGCATTTGTTAGGAATGAGTCTTAAAGCCTTAGGTCAGGCAACAGGCTAAAGATGACTGGTGACAAGATTACAGGAGACTGGGAAGTCCAAAATCCCCAAATCAAATGACAGGCTAGAAATTTCTACAGGATTGTGCTGTGCTCCAAGATCTATAGTTTGTAGTTCAGACAATTGGAGAGAGAGAGAGAAATATCTGCCAGCATACTCCATCTAGTCAGAAGACAAAGTACGTGCTCCAAAATGTAATTACATTACATTGTCTTGTAGAAGGTGATTATATCACCTAGTGGAACAGCAGCCAGTGTATTATTTGGCCCAACCACTCAGAATCATAGTTTAGCCAAGTTGACACATAAAATTCACCATTACATTATCATCATGGATGGGGAAAGGACTAGTTCCTAGGAGAGGGGCACTGAGCAAACCATCACATGAAGGGCTGTTACTCTAGGTTATTAAAGGTTCTTGATTTCATCCTTTGTAAGCTTCAGGATATTTGTCAGTCCATAGCAGATCAATTTCTATAAATGTCTCTTAGCTATCTATTTAGCTTGTATTCCTAATCCTCTCTAAATAAGCACGATCATCTGCTTCATGGGTATGTACTTTATGCAACAGGAATAAAAGGAGAGACTTCCTGACATGAGTCCACTTAAGTTCTAGTTCTGTACTTAAAGTAATTCTGTAAAATTAATCTTTGTTTTAAAATAATTTTTTGCTCTAAGATGACTAGGTTCTACCTTTTCATTATTACTCACTACATCATGAGACAGGTGATTTTGTGGGCTTGGTGGGCTCACAGGTTATGCCCCTAGTTTTTTCTTTCCCTGTCAAATAATGGTTCTTATTTTCTGTTCTAGTGAGGAGGTAGATTTAGAACTTCCAAGCACTGAAGAATATGTGTCAACTGCAGTAGCTGATGGTGGTACTGAATCCAGGGTGGTATTTAAAGAAAAGACAGTCACTTCTCTTGGCATTGTGGCAGATGGATTGGCTCCAGTCTTCAAAAAGAGAAGAATTGAAAATGGAAAATCTCGAAATTTAAGACAACGAGGTGACGATCAGTAACTTTAAAGAAAGCTTGTCATATGTACTTTTTGGACAAAATAGGGACCATGCATCTTGAGCTTTCTTGTGTTTTTTTAAGTGCTTTGAAGCTAAAAATTTTGATTTATTCTAAATTGTATTTTATGTAAATGATAATAAACCTTTTTCATGTGAAATGTATTTTGGTTCCTATAATGGAAGCCTATTATATTGCATAGTAATACAGTGTATTGTTATATTTCATGACTAAAATTGCTAATTATGTCATCATTTAAGATGCTATGTATCTGTGATTTAAAACATGGAAAAGCAAGGCATTTCTATAGTTCTTAATCATATGAATATATATATCCTATACTGAAAGTGCATTCTTTTTATGCACTGGTAATAACTATTATCCAAGAACTAAGACTTAGACCACATTAAGAGGAGATCCACAACCCAGTAAGAATTCTGCTAAAAGACTGATGTAGAAAAATGTGTGTTTATTAGTGTGTTGTCCTGTGCTGTTGGGTTGATTGCAATGCGTATTGATCTTGGTCGGAGAACAGGTTCCATGAAGTTTCCTTGGCTGTAACCTCCAGGATCCAATAGTTTATTCTTTTCTCCTGTGGAACCCCTGATGGGTTCAAACCACTGACCTTTGATTCGGCAGCCAAAAGTTTAACGATCACGCCACCAGGACTCCTTGTGTATTGGTATATCTCAGTCCATTTAAAGTCTAGGGCCAAGAACTAGGTACTTAGGTACTTCACATGTAGTGCTCATTGTAGAGTCAGACTTGACCAAAGGTAGAAATGTATGTTTACCTCATTTTTTTTGGAAAAGCTACAACTCTTGCTTAAGCATTTCCACTTTGAACTAGGCAATATTGTAGGAACTAGGGATAGAAAAGCAAGTGTTTCTAATCTACCAGCTCTCCAAGGGAGAAGGATAGGCAGTCTCCTCCTGTGTGATTAACTGCCCCTGGAAACCCACTGGACGGTCAGCTATGAGTCAGTTCTGACTTGACAGCATACAGAACAACAAGGGATAGAAAGATGAATGAGACATAACCGTATTCTTCAGAAGTTCATATTGCAGCATAGTCCTCCCTATGCCCCATTTGTGCACTCTGTTTTAGCTCTTAGTGGGGGAGTGTTTCAGGGGTTTTGTGTGTATGAAATTTTAGAGTGAATGATGTTAGCAAGTAACACTTTTTATACAGATTGTCCCATGACACTAGTTACCCTTTTTAAAATGTGTGAGCAGTCTCGTTATTTTACTTAGGCTTGTTCTGCTTCCATTAATCTAGCTACACTCCCCTCCTTGTCTTGTTAGCATTTTCCTTGTGCAGGGGAGGTGGTTGGTAAGTGCTGACCATTTGGTCTTACAGAATTACTGTTTAAGGGACACAGTACTGCAGCTGATGTTTTTTATTTACGATCTATACTATTGTTTGACTGAAAGGTGACTGCCAAGAGTTAGAAAATGTTTTGACAAGGTTTTTTTAAAGTTACGTAGATCAAGTCTTGAACTGAAATGGTGTCTCCCTAGTGATTTGAATTCCCCGGTGGCTCTGAAAGAGTAAGATGGAGTATCTCCAAAACCTGCAAAAGGAGTCATCTGTGAGTTTTTGTTTAAAAACTTGTAAAAGTGAGCACTTAGCCAAGCCAGAATTGTCCCCTCTTCTCATTAAATTTCTAAATAAGTGAAATTTTTTTGTTTAACCCATTTGACATAAGTACCTTCCCTTTAATATAGCTATAAATTCTTGAAAGTATTTTTTTCTAAATTGTATTTAACTTTTGGTAGAAATAATTGTCCTTTTAAGGTTATTAGTGTACATGTTAAAAAATGTTAGGTTATTAAAAACGTCATGGAAATAAATATTGTGAGTTTTCTTCTAATATTGATCATTGTCAGCTTAGCATTGGTAAGATGCTATTTGCAGATACGTCTTTATATCTTTCATCTCCTTACTGGGACATTTCAGGAAATGTTTAACATGAATAATTGTGTTAGAATTTTTGCTATCCCATTCATAGTCTAGCAAAACAATGAATTATGTTGCATGATTTTTCATTGGAAAAGAGGAGAGACTATGAATAGAATGTGAATATACTTTCTCTCCATTGAGCTTTTACAGAATAAGCAGTTGCCAAAATGAGCACAGCCCCCTGTGGGAAGAATGGAAGAAGCTTCTAGAGAAGCAGAAGGTGAAGGAAGAGCTTGATGCCTGTGAGAGAGAATTCAGGAAGTGTGTGGAATTCCAGGAGACACCTGCTGTCCCCCAAAGCAACAGGAATGAGATCAAGATATCAAAGAGCTGCAGACAACCTGCAGCTGTAGTACCAGGCTAGCATGAGTGAGCAGGGCTGGCTCTGGGCAGTTCAGGAATAGCTAGACGGTCAGCTTCAGTGCTGCCGGAAAGAGCTATGCCAACTCAAGGAGAAATCCTCAGTTTCCAAAGACATCAAGGGTGAAAAGGGTAGTAGGAATAAGAACAAGAAGGCCAATGGGAATAAAAATAGGAAGCCGAGTCTGGAAACATTTGAGGGCTGCACTGAGGACAAAAAGTCTGGAGGTTGTTCTATACTACAGGGCAGGCCAGAGGGAACTAGTTAGCAAGAGAGTGAGAAGAGGAGTGTGAGGAGGAGAAAGAAGAGATTAAAAAGCAAAGAGACCAGAGAGAAATACTCTAAGCAATTGAGTCTTTCGAGTCTTTCAGAAATTGACTCAGCAAGACATCTAGAAGATGATGAAGAGCTCCGTAGCCTGGTGATTGAGGAAAGTAAGAGCAGTGAGGAATCTAGCCTGGAAACTTCAGAAGAAATTCCCTCAGATATACTGAGAGCAAAAAGAACATGTTTGGGATGTAGAAGCCTGTGGTGGTCTTGGCCGTTGCAGCTGTGGTTCTGTATTTCTTACCCAACATGTGACAGCAGGAAGCACAGTTTTGCCTCATGGACTGATGGCAGATGTGAGCCAGCTGATGGGGCAGATGCCTTTGGCCACTATCCTCAACTTCCTGGGGCCATTGTGCCAGAGTCCCACCCTACCCTTATGCCCCATGCATTCCCAATCCCTTAGCCTCAGTCACCCAGGCTGGAAAAGGCTTGTGAAGAGTTGCTGGCTCACATATCCTGCCTTGTGTGAGAATCTAGGTTCCTTGTAATTAAATATCAACCAGATTTTTTTTAAAAAAAAAAAAGGCAAATCTTAAGCTAAACCTCGTTTTAAGGATTGCTCAGGAAAGACTGCTGAAAATGAAACCAAAAATTTTAATAAATTCAATCTTGAAAAATTAGACTAATGTGCTCTGAAAGGATGAGTAGAGAATATATATGCTTTAACCTGAATTTTTGTTCAGAAGTATTTGATATACTTTTATGATCTTTTGGTTTCATTTGTGTGTGTAATTATAAAATGTTACGTTCTTAACTCTAAAGACATAAATAATACAGAAATAAATTTAAAACAATTAAAATCCTAATTCTTTTTGGATTACCACTGTAGATTTGGAGCTTCTACCCCATAAATGAATGAGCCCTGTGGGTATGTGTGGGTAGCATTGAACATTTAATCCACAAGGTCTACTTTGTGAATAAACTTTATTCAAAGGAACACAATCTAAGCATCCAAAAGTAGTTTTGGTTTTTTAGTGGATGTTTTATAAATGGCTAGGAGTTGTTAAGGGCCATGGAGTCAAGTAGAACTTAGAGGGACCCCATGAACAATAGATCTGAACTCTGTCCCATCCTGCACCATCCTTATCATCCCCAACACGTCTGAGTCCATCTCATTGAGGACCTTCCTCTCCTTAACTAACTCTCCACTTTTCTAAGCAAGATGTCATTTTCCAAAGAATATCTTCTCCCAATAACATACCGAAAATATGGGAGGCAAAATTTCATAAACCTTGCTTCCAAGGAACATTCTAGTTGCACTCTGCCAGCATACATTTGTTAGTTCTTTTTGCTGTCTGGGATACGTATATTCAACACTCTTCTCCAACATCACAACTTTAATGTATTGATTCTTCTATTATCCTTGTTAATTGTCCAGCTCTCAGATGCATAGCAGGTGACTGGAATCAGGTACATCTAAGTCTTTAGACTGACATCATTGCTCTTCAGTATTTTGGAGAGGTCTTTGATAGCTGACTTTCCCAATGCTATCTGCCTCTTCACTGCTGGTACCAAGGTTATTGGGCGTGGATCCAACCAAGATGAAATCATTGACAATTTAAGTCTTTTCTCCATCTGTCATGATGTTGTCTGTTGGCCAGTGGTGAAGATTTTTCTTTTCTTGATGTTGAGATATAATCCGTGTTGAAGATTGTTGTTCTTGATCCTCTGCAGAAAGCTATCCAGGTCCTCCTCACTTACGCAAGCGAGGTTGTGCCATCTGTATAAAGCAGGTTGTTGATGAGCCTTCCTACAGTCCTGATGTCACACTCCTCTTCATAAAGTCCAGCTTCTCAGATGATTTTCTTTTTTTTTTTAAATTTTTATTTAAATTTATTTATTTTATGTGTGTACCGTCAAATTGGATCTGACTGGTACAGGAGGCGATTGTTCCTCTTCAGCAGAGCATCTGGTGGATTTGAACCACGCACCTCTGGGATTGCAGTACAGTTTCCTGCCACTAGGCCACCAGAGCTCACCTGATGATTTTCTAAGCATACAGATTGAATAGGTATGAAGACGAGGATATCGCCCTGTCACACATCTTTCCCAGTTTCTCGGGGGAGCTGGAGTGCCATCTTTGCCAAGGAATAACAGCACCCAGAAGTAAGCCAGACTTCAGGCAGAGGACAAGTGTGACCAGAGCCTGAGCCAACCTCACGAAAAAGTAGGGTCAGCCAGGTTCTGCTGGTTTAGATGTATAGCATTTATTGACCAGTTTGCTATATTGGTTGGGGGTGAGAGTGACTCATAGTTGACCCTCCTTTGGTTTTCCAAGGTTGTGACCACACAGGAAGACATTGCCCATCTTTCTTCCTGGGATCCTCTGGTAGATTGGAATCGCTAGAGACG